GTTGCCATCTCTTCAGCAAACTGATATGCATGCCCAGTCCCATCATGGATGGCTTAGTAACCTAGATGTGTCTCAGTCGAAGCATCTATCACATGAAGGTTATGTCCACTTTGTCCATCTTTCTACTAGAGCACCATGAGGAGTGCCTTGTCTCTGTGGTGGTCAAGTGGCTATCACAGACTAGGTATGAAAAGTGAATTGCAGTATTGACCAAAAAGGATGAATAGGGGCTGGGGAGATAGCTCAGTGGAATAAGTGTTTGCCTGGCAAGCACAAGGTCCTGAATTTGATCCCTGGTACCACCGCCCCCCAAAAAAAGATGAATAAACCTGTACTCTGCCACACCTGTACTCTGAGCACAAGCTGTGAAAACAGCAGAATTTAAGTAGAGGAGCAAACAAAAGACAGCCAGGCCTCCAAATGAGATGAAGATCCTTTGATACAGAGGAGACTAGATGCCTACATGGTTGGCATGAGTTGCTAGGTCTCTTTGATATGCTGAGGGTGTGCGTCCAGCAGATAATGCCATGGGAAATTTGGTTCTTCAGGGTTAGAGTTAGAGGGACTGAAGAAACTAAGTCCTGGCACACTTTTTGAAGCTGGGCTCAAGTAAGGGTCCCCATCCAAGGCCACTCTCAGCTATTCACACTGGGGCTTTATAGGATGTCAGGGTCCTAAGAAGTGCAGAAAACAAGGCCTGGGCTGAGTTGCTTTCTAGAGGTTCTCCAACAGGATGGACATATTTTGTCATGGAACCATGCATCACTGTGGAAAACCAGATTTTGGATTGGTACCTGAGAGAAAGGTATAGAGTACTAGTGCCTTGGTATGAATGGTGTATCCTCTGCAGAAGTCTTACGTTGAAATCCTAACACTCAATGTGATGGTGTTAGAAGCTGGAACCATGAGAGTGGAGCCCCTTGGGTGGTGAGGTTAATGCCCTTTTAAAAGGGGTTGCAGAGAGTAACCTGACCCATTTGTTGTGTAAAAACATAGGGAAGTCAGCAGTCTGACTCTCAATGCTGAATCTGCCAACACTGTGATCTCAGACTTCCAGCCTCCAGAACTGTGAGAAGTAATTATCTTTTAATTAACAACCACCTAGTCTATGGGAGATTTTTTTTTAAGTTTTTTTTTTTTTTTTTTTTTTTTTTTTTTT